CTGTCTAGCCCTTTTTTGTTATTTCTTTGTGGGGAAGTCCAGCCTCGCCTAGAGAGTTTTTTTTTTTTTTTTTTTTAAGGGAAAGAGATGGATTGAAATCCAGCTAAGCCTTACGTGGCTTGGGTTTGTCCCAACTTATTCCCTTCATTTGATCGAACCTAAAACCAAAACAAAATTTATTTTTTCCCAAATCAATTTAGATCAAGGGCCCTCTTTTATCTTCCTTCTCACTCGATTTACTTCTCCTTCTTTTCCTTTTTTTTTCTTTTCTCCTTTCCTTCTTCTCCGTTGGATCCAACATTGGTTCGTCCCCTCCATTTCTTCGTCTCTTTCTTTTCTTTCCTTTCCTTTTCTTCTCTTCGTCTTCTCCTTTCTCACCCTCTCGAATCCGTCTCGTTCTCTCTCCCCTTGTTTTTGAATTTTGCCATCGCCATGGGCGAACCAGTAATGGTTCGTCCATGGCCACCTAAATTTCTCCCTTTTTTTTTTTTTCTCTTTCTTTCCTTTTTTTACTTCCTTAATAAAAAACACACAAATCAATTTCACAAAATTCTTCCCGAGTTTGGCCGGATCCTTGCTTTTCAATTCTTCAAAAAATTAATTTCAATTAAAGCTAATTGGCTTGATTTCTAGTGAGATCCAGCTTAATTCACACCTTAATGGACCTAATTTCTTAAAACCCCTAATTTGATTTGTTCAAAAGTTCAAAAATCCTAAAATTGAATTGAAGTCAATTCGGCTTCAATTCAGGATTTAAACTCCAATGGACTTCAATTGAGTTTAATTCATGCTTCCTAAACCTAATTTCAACTCAATTTTAAAAACCATCAATTTTCTTCAAAAACCTAATCTTGTCAACAAACCGAAATTAAAGTGAAATTAAGTAGAATTACCTAGCAGTGCTTGGTGAAGATGGATATTAAGGTAAGTTTAATCTTTCTCTTTTTTGCTACCGATTTCCTTCTTCTTTTTTTTTTTTTTTTTGATTATTTGCTTTCAATTTTGGGTCGCTTCCAAAAAAAAAAAAAAAAAAAAAAAAAAAAAAAAAACAACCTCCTTGTTTATCAATTGTGTACATATATATACATATGAATTGCTTGGTTGGTTCCTCCACTATGATGGTGAGGGATTTTCTATAGAATATGGGTATCAAATGGAGGGTTAGATTGGATAGTGTAGTCGATCGTGGCAATGGTGAGACTCGTCGGAGATGTTGTGGGCTACTAGAGGTTGGCAATGAGGGTGGCTACCTTAGGTGGGGGTGCTAGAATTGTTGACTTAGGGTTAAGAGAGCTACTAGAATTTGCAGCAATAGGGTGGTTGTGGCGCTTATTGTTGATCGAAGGGGAGAAATGTAGGGGCAAGTTGGGGCCGATAGGATGGTCGGGCAAGGGGTGAGGTTGTAAGCTTAGGAATTGCAAGTGGAGTTCAAGGCTGAAATTAGGAACCAAATTAGTACCTAGGGAAAGAGAATTGCTCGAATTGGGAACCAAAACTCGGTTCTAGGGGAAATAGGATGATCAAAATCCCGAAACTAGTTCAAGGCAGGAGTGGGCGACTAGTTGTAATCCGACCCTCGAACTTTGAGTGATTCAATTATATCCTAATTGTTGTAATTATTTTGAATTTAACGTGATTGCATCCTTGAATGTTAAATTCAAATTATTTTTGTATTTTTCTCCTCTTTTTTGTGTTTTTGTAAATTACTAATAGAAATTATAAAAATAAAATGAATAAAGAAATTAAAAAAGACTAATTAAGATAAAAATTAAAAATTAAAAATAACATAAGAGAAAACTAATAACTAACTAAACATAAGAGAAAACTAATAACTAACTAAAAATAAACCTCTTGAAATTTTTGTTATGACAAGACAAAACAGAAAAAATTGATGAATCAACAAACTCGACAAATATGCAAATAGGTGAAAATATGCAAAATCAATAAAATCGACAAATAGGCAAATAATGGCAAATAGGTGAAATGTGAGAAATGGCAAAAAAGACAATAAAAAGCAAAAATGAAAAAATTAGAAAAATCCTTAAAGTTGGCAAAAAAAGATGGCAAAATTGACAAAATAATAACAAAAAACGACAAAAGCAATAAAAACAATGAAGTTGGCAAAATCAATAAATTTGGTGAAAAATGGCAAAAAAGGAAAAATTAGAAAAATTGACAAAAATGGCAAAAACGATCCAATAACGAGGTTCGGATCGACACAACTTTGAATGTTGTGATTTTTAAGAAAAATTGACACGATGTCAAATTAATTATCACGACGTGCCACAATGGTCCAAAACGAGACTTGGATCAACGCGGCTCAAAATCATGCACAATCAAGTGAATTCAACAAAGCATATTTGATTTTAATAGTTTTATTTTTAGGAAAAAATTATCAAAAAAAAAAAAAAGAGTGAAAAATGAGGTGATAACAAATACCTCAAAAGAGTTTATTATAATTCACTTATTTTTATTTTACAATTTTCTTAATTTGACAAAAAAAATGAAAATATTAATTTTGTTATGTTTTAAAAATAGTCGGACAAAAGTGGATAAAAAACCAGATATATTTTCATTTTACTGTAAAAAATCTATTTATTTAAATTCGATAAAAAAAAAAGAGTAGAAGGACAAGATTAAAGGAAAAAAAAAAAACCAAGTTGACACATGTCACAATCTTTTGACATCAGCAGTGTAATATAATAATGTTAGCCAAAAAAAAAAATAATAATGAAAAAATGTGGTTAAAATAGAAACTAAATGTAAATGAAAGAATTTAAGCCAAGAAAAAGTTTTCAAAAAAAAAAAAAAAAACACGATAAAACAAAAGAAGGAATAAAAGGATCTCTACAAATATTGACCGATATGTAATCTTACCTAAGTTACAGGAATATTTGTTTTTGCCAGGAAGTCTGTTTTTCCCCTAGTTGGAATGAACGATGTTCTTCAAAAGCACCATGACCAAGGGAAGAACAACCAGAACCTAGTGTGAGATATTGAATGGTTTAAAGAGTCTAACTACTATTGAATTTTAAGTTATTTGAGATTTGAGTCTATGAACTTTTTTATTAATTTTGAGAATCCTTGAATTTTTATTTTTATTTTCTTAGATATAGCATATTTTTAATATTTGTCATTTATCTAAAAAATAACAATCACATAAATAATTTCATGATAAAAATCATTAAACGAGATTTATGTGGGGGCTCTTAAAAAATTTTGAGATAATTTTAGATTTATTTTTTATTTTTTCTATTTTTTATATTTTTAATGTTCAATAAATAAATAAATATTTTTTAATTTTCAAAAATTATAGAATTTTTATATAAAATGGATTGAATTTTTTCTAATGTGTGCAAAATTTTAATTCAAAATACAAATAATTGAATTTTTTAGGAAGGAATATAATAACTGAAAATCATTGAATGAACTATTTCTAAAGAAATTAAAAGTTGAGAGATCTTTAAAATCAATAAAAAAAATCAAAAGCTAATTTCAAATAACTTAAAATTTTGGACTGGTTAAATTTTTTTAACCATATTGAATTAGAATATTACTTAAACCCACGGTACAAAAAGGCAAAGCAGTAGGCCAACAATGCTGAACTGGCATTCACATCCTCAAAGAAGGTCTCACGTTGGGACCACTTCTCATCTAAACGAAAAACGAAAAGACGGGAAAGTTATGATTAAGTATAATAATATTATATGAACCTCCATTTGAGCCACAAATAAGGTCAAGGGACGACGAAAGGGGATCAGCCGATTCCGCTTCAACGAAGTAATAGAATAGAGTTTCTGTAGCCAGAGTACTGTTTAAACGAAACATTGCCGGGCTGCTCTGGCAGGCTCGTTATCCGCTCAGCACAAGAGAAAGAAGAATTGGGAAACGAACCGAATAGCCATCAGAAAAAAATAAAAAATAAAAGAAGACACACACAGGTCCACCCTAAAAAAGTCATCAGAAAGATATAGGGGAATATAATATAGATGATGATTTAAATTGGAATCGCTTAGCCACAACTCATGCAGAGGGTGAAGGCCAACATGAAGCAAAACAGAACCATATAATGTGATTGATGTAAACGAACAAGTCACACAAAAATTGCCTTTGCAGAACTCGGAACCTTTTTTCTCAAAACAAAAATGTTTCACAATTGCCCATGTGCATCAAGCCCAAGTGTGAAGTATTTACCTTGACTTTTGGGGGGAACATTCCAAAGAATGACTTCACTTGGTCGCACATCACCAGATACTCTCAGGTGCTCTGTTTCATGTTAGGAAGAAACTTGCATTAAGACACAGATTTCCTCCAAGTTGTCTCCATTTGTGCCAACATCAACTAATCCACGCACAGCCCAAAAAAAAAAAAAAAAAAAAAGGTTCCAAAGCCTAACACTTGCACCAGCACTGGTACAACTCAGGAACCCCTAACCTAGTTGAGCATGCAACAATAAATTTCCCGTTTCGGAAACACCAAAAAGTTTGCTAAAAAGAAAGCTCTTGCATACCCATGCCTGTCCTCTTTAAGTACAAGCAGCATATCGTTCCTTCAATTCTCCCTCACTAGGTAGGTACCATAGCTATTCACAAACATGGATTGATTTGTAAGTCTGAAATAACGGCAGGAAACATGTCTACTTTTGGGATTTCAGTCATCCACAACGACATAAAGAAGATCTTAGAAAAAGACACGAGAGAGAGATGATGGTGACAAAAAAGAAGTGCACTTTTAACATTTTTCTCATTCAGCTATTGAGCTATCAACCTCTTTCCGGTGCACTTACAAGATGGTCCCTTTTCTTCCTTTTATGTACAGAAACTATATATAGAGTGAAAAGGCATCAAGTGCCTTGTGTTGTGTTCAACAAGAAAAGAAAGGAAAAGAAAAATAACAAGAGCATAGAAAGTAAAACGAAATAAAAGATCTACTGCTAATCCGCTACTCAAAATGGGTGGCAACCAATGATAATATGGAGGGAAGGATGGTGTGGAGCAGGCTCACTTCTCCACAATTGCTGGACCTCCGTACAGTTCCCCTATAACAGTCAAGTCCTCAGGTTTCTCCCTCTCTTGAAGCCAAGCATAACCCTCCTCCTCCCCCTTCAGGAATTGATACTCCATCTACTGCTTTGTGTCAGACAACAAGATTATCAAATACTTATCAACTAAAATTTCAGGCAGCCAAATAATCAAGATTTCACCAAGCCAAAACATTACTTCATTACTGTTAACATTTTGAATCATAGCGAACTTTGTGAAGATGCACCATGGTACCTGAGCGATTGGCGAATGGGAAGTCAAAGTAGTATTGGCAATGCCGACCATCAGGATCAGAGTATGGAGGGCCAAGCACATCTAGGACTGCACATGCTGTTACTGCCGTAAAGCAATGCATGTTGCCTCCATCAGTAGGGAAAAGGATAGAGGTGTTGCAAGGAGCGGTGAAGTTAGAGTTGACCTTGACCTTAGCCAAACGAACATCAGGCTGCTCTGCTTCATTAACCAAAACTGTGAAGTCAGGTGCTAGTTTCTTTTCAAAGTATGGATGAGAGAAGAATGAAATTGCCAAAGTCATGCATTCTGCTAGGGTTGTCCATAATGCAAACAAGTGAGGCTCATGGTATATTGGGAGAGAGTAAGACAAGACATTACAAACTTCCAGACAGGTTATGAAAACGGCCAAGTTAACTTTGTATCTAGTGAACTGGAGCATTGCTCAAATGAGAAGCGTAATTTTTAGCATTTTTCAAAACTTTTAGGTTTTCCCAACTTAAGACCAACTTCAAATATTTACAAGGTTTTTTTTTTTTTTTCAAGCTCCACCAGCATCAGTTTACAACGGTAGATTCACATTTTTTTCCTCCAATTTTCTCATGGAATTTGCTATTTTGATCAAGTACATACCAACTTTGGCAGCATGAATTTCAGTACAAGAATCAAAACAAGTAACACTTACGCGTTGAAGGACTGACCGCAACAGATGTACTGGCAGAGACATCAGCCACCCAGTCATATGATTTTATGTGCATAGTCCCGAAGAGAAGTTTGCTAAATACAGTCATTCCAGGATGATTATGAAGTGGAATGACACCTGATGGCGGCAAGCAGAAGATCCCCATCTACGATAATTGAAAATTAGAGCGCACAAGTCAAAATACAATTCCTCAAAAATAATGTTAAAGCACCTCAAAGAAGGCTACGTACAGAGAATTTGTCACATTCATGGAGATGCAGGTATCTTATCACTGGAGCTCTCCCAGGCTCAGAAGCCTGAAAATGTGGCATTTCAGGACTGAGATCAACATCAGCAGGCTTGAAGTTATCTACAGAAGAGAAACTGAAGATTAAGAATCAAGGGAAAAGATTAACCCAAAAAAAAAAAAAAAACATATATAGCTCATTTTACTATTGCATAAGCAGAAACAAAGATGTGGCACTTCTTTATTGAAATGCCCCAAAAAATACAATTTGGAATGAAAGCACGTCCATGAAGGGAATAACGGTAACAAAAGTAGGAATAGCAAACTAGAGGAAATTGAGAAGAGGTGCCATAGTTGTGCTATTCATGCTGAATTAAGCCTTCATTCAACTGTCTAAGGCTTCTCAATCCCTAAGGATTAGAAAGCTAGCGACTATGAGGCCTCAAGAGCCAAGACCAAAAAGGAAACGCTTCTACATTTCTGTTGCTTATAGTTTTTATTTAATAACTTGAATTCAACAAAAATAAAAAATCATAGAAACATGGTTATAGGCACAAATAAAAAATGCAGATATCAATGGACCTTTCTCAGATACTAAAAAATTATTAAGCCAAATCTGAATAAAGGAACAGAGTAAACAAGATAACCAGAACAGCATACAATTCACTAGAGAATGTAAAATCATGTCAAGCTCAACAACATCACAACAATAAAAACTGAGACAAACCAGGTATTACACAGCTTAATGGCCTAAAGATTTTAAATTTTTATGATAACTTAAAAAAAAGAAAAAAAAAGAAAAAAGGAAAATCGAACTCTGTATAGAACAATAAAGCTAATATTTATACATTTATAAATTCTTACCTGATTCACATCCAATAGCCAATATTGTATTACTAGCTTTCCTAATCAGAATTATCAAAAACTAAGTCTAAAACCAGCAACCCAATTTTCGAACTCTAAAAAATCAAATTTAAGGCACTTAGCAAAGGGAAACAATATCACAAAGAAACATACCCAAAACTGCTTTTAGCTTTTGGATATTATCAGGAGAAGGAACAATTCCAGCGCTACAAGAGTCAAACACTTCATTGCAGGTGTTAAACAGCTTCTGAACCGGCGATACAACCACCATCTTCTTATGGCGACGCCTCCTGCTCTTCTTTCCTTTGCTATTCGTATTGGTTTTCGAATTCAAATTTGAGTTCAGAGTCGGATTCTTATCCTTGGCCAATTCACAAACTTCTTTTACTTTCTTATTAGCCACACTCGTCTCAATCCCCATTCAGCCCACAATTCCTCTAAAGACAAGACAACAAAAATTCCTATCTAGGAATCCTCTCAAATGCCACAATTTAGCTCAAAAAAAAGGCAAAAAAGGATGGGTATAGCTTAAAACTCTAATTTCCTTTTGGTATACCAAGAAACACTTAAAAGAATGCAAAATTGAAATATGGGGATGCGAGATTTTTTAGGACAAAAAAAGAAACAGAGAGTAACAGAGTTTGTATTTATGTGTGTGTATGTATGAATATGCAGTTTTTTGTTTTTTCAAAGCATGGTACTGTTTACTAGTTGGATGATATGTGTATATGTGTTTAAGATACAAGAATAGAAAGGCAAAAGGAAAAGAGAGACGATGATGATGGAATGAAAATTGGCATCTCTGGTGATGTGAGGTGGGTGGGGAGAGGAAAATGAAGAAGATGGGTATAAAAGGGGGAGGTAGACAAGGTGGTTTTTCTAGGGTTATTTAGTTGAAAGCGAAAAACAGTTGGTTTCTTTGAGAGAGAATCAAAACCAGGGGCCATTGCGACCGTTTCCTATGGGCTGCTACTAATACCAGTTGGATTTTTTTCTTTTCCTTTAATTTATCCTAAATCTTTTTTTCTTTTCTTTTTTTTTTATTTAAATTTTGCCCATTCCTTTTCATTTTTCACATTCTTCCCCTTTTTTCTTTGAGAATGAATTGCGTAGCTTATTATTATTAGTCATGTATGAGAAATTTTATAATACACAAGAAGTAATTAGTGGCATGTATAGTAGTTACTCAATGAATTCACTTTGAAGAAAGAGATAGACATACAAAAAGAGAGAGAAAAATAGGAGAGAGAAAATAAAAAAATTAAGCGAACGTGAAATCTTCTTATCACTTTTGATGGGTATGGATGTAATTTCTCTTTTTTTATGTGTCTATCTATCTCCTCAAAATGAACCCAAAGAGTAACTACTCTATATGCCACTAGTTATTCCTTGTGTATTATAAAATTTTCCAATCATATATGAAGTTCAAAATTTTATTTTTTACTTCTGCGATTTAAATAAATAATTTTATAGCAAGAGAAATAAAGCAGAAAAAAGATTTTCATCTCACTTCAAAATAATTTATTTAAAGAACATACAAGATATTGAAAAAGTAGATGAAAAAACTAGAGTTTAATAGCTTAAATCTCAACCCAAATATTTTTTTTTCACTCATTTCATTTTATTTTTCTTTATGCCATAGTTCAATTTGGCCCTTTTTTTTTTTAGATTAAAGAGAAGGAGATCTTTAATATGAGAGAATGATTTTGTTTTATACATAAATTAAAGGGGTAATTGTTCCCTTCTGATACGCCCACATGTGGTATATGGATCTCTGATTTATGCAGAGATGAGAAAATTTATAAAAAATTGCCTTTTATAATTTGATTTCAACAATCAAATAGAGTGAGAAATTATCTCTTATATATAACTTGATTTAAACAATCAAATAGGTTTTAATTTTGTATAGAACATCCTCCGCACAATATATTTCTCACTCAACTAACTTTTTAGAATTTTTTTTTTTTAAAAAAAAATTCTTTACGATTTCCAAAGTTAGAACATATAATTAGAGTACAGAGTTTTATTTTTTTTAATTTTTCTAATAAAAGAAAAACTTTTTAGAAATTCCTAAGTTAGAAAATATATTTATAGGACAAATTTTTGTTGTTTGACTTTCCTTTTTAATTAGTGATTATGTTGCTAACAGCCGTTTATGACATTAATTTTGAAAATGTTTGGATTTGTTCGTATCTGTTACGTCTTGTTTGTTTCTAGAGGCTTAGTTATAATATTTGGATTTTTTTTTTCTGATATGAATATTTTCACATCTACACTTTAAATTGTCTACTAAAAATATGAAGAGGAATGTTTGGTTCATATCTTTGTAACAATTTGCATTAGATTGGCCAACGAATTGGTTTTATAAAAGGTAACTCGAAAACTTGCTTTTTCTTTCTTAAATCAATGTTTATGGATCCTAACGAGCCATCTTCCCACACAATATAAAACACAAGAATAATAAATAAATAAATATAAAATTGGAAGCCACTATCGAGTAATATTTAGTTTTTTTTTTTTTTTTTATAAAAATGAATTAAACATTTTTTTTAGTTTCAAAAATTAATTATTTAATCAATCTTGATCACATTTAATTCAAGAATAATTTAAACATTTTATATATAAAAACTAAAAAAAAAAAAATTGTGCTAATAAACAACTAGATTTTGCTAATAGCAATTCTTTTTAGTATTACTCAGCTCTAAAAAAAACATCTTCCTTTTTTTTTAATCAATTTTTTCATATTATTTATTTTCTTTTATTTTTTAAATAAATAAATAAATTGAAAAAGAACACACACACATTAAATCACAAATAGATTTTAAACATAAAACTAATTTATTAATTTCTAAAATTAAAAAAAAGTTGTTTAATTCATTTTGTATAAATTTCATATTAGTTAATTTCTTTTATTTTTTTAAATAAATAAATTGAAAAAGAATACGAAATGAATATACACAAGGATTAAACCACAAATAGATTTTAAACATTAAAACTAATTTATTAATTTTTAAAATTAAAAAGATCATTCATTTTGCATAAATAAAGAGATTAATTTGAAATTTACTCATCATGGGATGGATATGCATAATGCATGGGACCTATTAATGGGTTCGACTTATAGTTCAGCTCACAATCTTTATATTAAGGCAAGCCTTAGGGAATTTAGGTAAAGGTTGGTTATGGGTTGGAAAAGATTGAAATTACCCTACCATGTCCTACTTGATGTAAGTTGCATTGCATATATATGAAAGCTAAAAATCTCATCTTAACATGTTATGAGTTTATGTTTATTTGAGTTAATTCATTTTATTAGGACAATCGAGTAATTTTGGGACATAGGCCAGTCAAAAGGCCTATTTTCATACTCGAAATAAAAAGAAGAAGGTGTTCAAGAAATAACAGGCCCCTAACAACCGCAACTTATAATCACAAATTCGATGAGTCATTTGGGACATAAGCTAATCAAATGCCTATTTCCATGCTCTAAAATAAAATAAAAGAGAGAAAACGTTCAAGCAATGGTGAGCACCTAACAACCGTAGCCCGTAATCACAAAAATTTGGCAAATCCCTAACAATTATAAACCATAAATATTAAATTTGGTGAATAGTTAAAGAGATAGGTCGATCAAAAGCCTACTTCCATACTCTAAAACAAAAGAAATAATATTCAATAATTGGCGATCCCCTTACGACTATAGTCGGTAATCACAAAAACTTGGCTAGTCCTTAATGACCGTAGGTCACAAACATTAAATTTGGCGAGTCTCTAATAACTACAATCCTAAAACAGAAGATTTAGCAAGCCTCTAACAACTACAATCCTAAAACATTAGATTTGACAAGTCCCTAATGATCGTAGTTTTAAAACACAAAAATTTAATGAGTCCATGATGATTGTAGCCTTAAAACATAAAATTTGGTGAGTTCCAAATGATTGCAACCGTAAAACACAAAGATTTGAAAAGTCCCTATTGACTACATCCTTAAAACATAAAGATCAATGAGTCCCTAATGATTATAACCCTAAAACACAAGATTTGTCAAGTTACTAATGATCGTAACCCTAAACTATAAGATTTGGCAAGTCCCTAATGCTTGCAACCCTAAAACATTAGATTTCATCGGTCTTTAATGATTGTAGCCTTAAAACACGAAGATTTGTTGAGTCCTTAATGATTGCAACTCTGAAAACACGAAGATATGGTAATTCTTTAACGATTGCGAGTCCTAAAACACAAAGATTTGACGAGTCCCTAATGAAGATTTCCTTAAAAGATTAGATTTTATGAGTTTCTAATGACTACGACCTAAAAACACAAAGATTTAGCGAGTTCCTAATGTCCGTAGTCCTAAAACACAAAGATTTGATGAGTTTCTAATGATTATAGCCCAAAAACATAAAGATTTGGCAAGTATCTAATGACTACGACCAATAAACACAAAGATTTGACAAGTCCTTAATGACTATAGTCCATAAACACTAAATTTGGCTAGTCCCTAACGACTATGGTACAAAGACAACATTTAGTACCTCATTCAATTATATGTAAATACGATGTTAGCTCTCGAAGCTAACCCTAACAAATTTATTGTATTCACACAAATCACATTTAATTAATCACACCACAAAAACAAGATCATACTTAAATGCACACACGAGGGCCAATGCTCACCTTGGATAAATCTACAAAATTAAAACTCATGCCTAGTCCTCCTAGCTCCATCATGAAGTATTGAACATCGATCTTATTTTTTCTAAAAAGTATCTAAGATCTTTAAACCTTTTGAATTCAATACACAATGGTGCATCTTAATCACACTTCAAATCTCATATACATATCATAAACATTGCATACATTCATAATATCAATCCAAATGCATTTGAATTTAGCAAAAAATTAAATACGATACAAAAGTGTTAAGAACCTACCTTATTGGTCAAAATGACTAGAAAGCTTCCTTAAATGTGTCAAAAAATGCCTTTTAAGCAAAAGATAAATCTACCCCTTCTTCAACCCTCTAATGGAGACAATTATTGTTATCAATTAGAGAGAAAAAGAGTTAGTACTTCAAGTCGGAGTTCCTTCTTTTTTATTTGGGCCACTTTCTTCACTCTCCGAAGAAGACAATCAATATTGTTAGTCGGAGAGGGAAGTTAGTCGAGAAAAGTGTTATGAGGTTATTATTTTAGGGTTAGTTCGATTTCATCAACCCCAATGAAGACCGATTTAATTTCGATCGGTTGATAAAGAGAAATGATTGCCTATTATATAAAAAAGAAGGTTATTATGAAAGAATTAAAATGTCCTTAGTCTCTTGTAAAATGACCAAAATTCCCTTAGGTCAAAAAATGACAAAATTACCCCCTCAATAGACCTAAATCTTCTAGTTGTCGGTGTTCACTCTTTCGGTCGTC